GCATTTAATTAGGGACTAGCTTATAGTTTCAGAGGGTCAGTCCATCGTCATCATGGCAGGGAGCCTGGTGGCTGATCTGTGGTGCTAGAGCAGTAGTTGGGGGCTTTACATTCTGACCCTTCATCAGCAGGCAGCAGAGAGAGTGAGCAGCATTGGGCCCAGCTTGGGTTTTTGAGAAACCCAAGCCCATCCTCAGTGACACACCTCCTTCAAGGACACACCCCCTTAACAAGGACACACCTCCTCCAACAAGTACACACCTCCTCCCACAAGGACTCACCTCCTCTAACAAGGACACACCTCCTCCCACAAGGACTCACCTCATCTAACAAGGACACACCTCCTCCCACAAGGACTCACCTCCTCTAACAAGGACACACCTCCTCCCACAAGGACTTACCTCCTCTAACAAGGACACACCTCCTCCCACAAGGACACACCTCCTCTAACAAGGACTCACCTCCTCCCACAAGGACACACTTCCTCCAACAGGGACACACCTCCTTTAACAAGAACACACCTCCTTTAACAAGGACTCACCTCCTCCCACAAGGACACACTTCCTCCAACAGGGACACACCTCCTTTAACAAGAACATACCTCCTTTAACAAGGACACACTTCCTCCCACAAGGACACACCTCCTCCCACAAGGACACACTTCCTCCAACAGGGACACACCTCCTCTCACAGGGACACACCTCCTCCAATAAGGACACACCTCCTCCAATAAGGACACACCTCCTAATCTTTCCAAACAGTTTACTGACTGGGAACTAAACTTGCAAATATATGAGCCTATGGGGGCCATTTTCATTCATACCACCACATGGGTTATGTCATAAGTGCATAATAATTGGTTTTCTAGGGGAAAAAAGTAACTTTCCTGTATAGTATTTGCTGTCATCATGGCTAGTGTAAAATTACCAGTGAGGCATTCCTGGAACTATTTCTTAGACAAAATTTGCAAAACCAGGCCTTACAGAACCAGCATTTATGATTACCTCTACCTAAGTTTGTCTAGTTTATGGGTGGTTTGCGTTTTATTTTTCTTCCTTTATCAAAACTAAACAAAAACCATACATTAGTGGTTGGTATACAGCAGGTTAGATGTAAAATCTTTGATTTGGCTATCTGGAGCTGGGGCTTAGTAGGCCAGTGGTATACAAGGTAGCTTGCACCTGTGAAGGCCTACACCAATTGCCAGCATCACCAAAACAAACAAATACAATCTTTTACTCAGAACAATCTAAAAACTTTAAGCTTACAGTGATTTTTAAAAAAATGTTAAATATTGTGAGGACCAAAAGATGATAAATACAGAAAAATTGTGAGGAAAGATGAGTTGTATATAATTCTTCTTGTATTTGTGCTTACTAGATCTCTTTTATCTCCTGTGCTGCCCTAAGAAACATTAAATGTGAATTTAGAAAAATGTGAGGTTGGGGTGCATAATAAAAAAAAAGGAAACGTAAAAGCTTTGAATTTAAATTCCTTTATTAAAAGATCACCTATGACTTACACTGTAAATTCAAAATGATGTCCAATACAAAACGAACCTTTACTTTACACCAATTATGTAATAAACTAAAGATGATAATTTAAAATTATTTTCTATTATATGAACCAAATAGACATAAACAAAACATTCACAAATCAGGAAATCTTTGTATTTATAAATCATGCTATTTGCACACAGAAGCAAAATAAAAATATTAGATTTATAATTTATGCGATAATTAATGATGTGAGAAAATATAGATAAGCTCCTACAACTAAAGAATAATTATTCAGATTTCAGCTTTCCTCCCTTTTAAATGGTTTTTATTAGTTTGAGGTAAATTAAAAATAATGAGAACTGACTTGTAATGTTTTTATTTCATCTTTAATTTTCTGATATCCAACTCTGAATTAGTGACTCTTCATTCTGATGTTACCAAGTTTTACTGTAGATGCCACCAAGCGATTTTTCCTTCAACCTTCAATATTATTTGTCGTTTGTTTTGCAATTGGTGTGAAGCAGAAGGTTCATTACATTTCTATTAATTATGTTATTTTCCACTCTTAGACTCTCAATGGCTTTCTATTTTCTCATAGTCTTACAACAAACTCTTGATTTGAACCAGGTATTTCTATCTGCCATCCTGGCTTGCAAGGCTCAATTATTCTCTAAGAGGCTATATTTAAGAGGCTCTACCTTCAGGGAACCTGAAATTTTTCTAGAACTAATTTAATTGCCAACTTTTCCAATCTCTACATAGTACTCAATGCCTAATTACTCCTTCTTGTTCCTTCTTTGTAATACAAAAAAGTAACTAAAAACAGGATTTATTCTTCTGTATACTTCATTATCTCAAGTGCCTAGAACAGTGTCTGTCAAATAGCAAGTATACAAAGAATCTGTTGAAGCAATAGACAAGTAGTTACCAAAACAAAATAAGAAGACAATAAATACAGTCAGAATTTTTTTTCTAATAATGAGTTAAAATATTTACAAGCTGAAGTTGATTACATGTAGGTTGATTCTACATTTTAATGTACTGGTGTTTTGACAAAGCCCTGTGAGTTAGGAAAGCTATGGTGATACCATGAATCAGTCAAAAATAATGTGTAACGCTCCGGGTGATAGAGTTTCAGTTAGAAGGTGCTATTTTTCTCATATGAAACTGTGCTTATTATACGCCATTGAAAACTTGGCTAAACATATTTTCTTGGTATGCTAATGCTTTTTGCAAACCTTTTCTTGATTCTGCCATGTAATTTAAAAAGATTCAATTAAGGGAAGAAGATTTAACTAGCTTTGAATGAAATTTCTAGCAAAAACAGATTTTATATTTCAAAGCAGACAGTTGTTTTATTATTAGCTGTATTGGTTTACATTGGAAACAGAATGTTTGTCTCCGTATATTCCTGCCTCTGACTGTGTCTCAAGCAAGAGAAGAATGGCTATGGAGGTGGGGGGGGGGAGAATATGAAGGAGACTTACACCTGTGATTGTGAAATAAATGTCTGAAACACTAAATATTCAATAAAGTAAAGTGTTAGAGTTTCTTCCCTAAAACCATAGTGGCTTCTATGTCTAGATGCAGTTACTATGAAGGTAGGTTAACATCTCTGAGCACTAGTTTACTTATCTCCAAAATGGAATAAAAATACCTGCTTATCAAGGCTGGAAAGACTGGGAGAATATCACAATGTAACCCTTGAACATGTGTGGTGCTTAATAAAGTGTTTATTAAGTCAATAATGTAACTTAGGTTGCCAGTGAATTCAACTTTTGGATATCTTCTAAGGAAATAATATAGTGACTAGGTAATTAAACAGTTATGACTAAAATGTAATTACATATATCTCAACAACTCTGATAGAGACAGAAGGGGAACAGCACACGATAAGTCAAGCACATTAACCTTGATGAAACAAAATTTGGAGCTGAGGTGATCAGACGATTGTGCATGAGATCTGAGCATGGGCACATATATCCAAGCACAAGAAGAAGTTTAGGACATTTTTCTATGTCTCTCCATGTCTCAGAAAGATGATGACAAATTCTAGTTCACAAGTAAATTTATTGAGAACAACTGATTATGCTTGCTGACATATTATCCATTTTCTACAAGTGTTTAGACATCAGCAAGGATACTGAATTTACCAGTACTGGGAATAATAACAGGTGGATACCTGGTGAATGATGCTTCTTCTTTTAGTTCTTGAATAAAAGAGACAACATTAAAAAAATATGGTAGAGTAAATTTTCAATTAAGAAACTCAAATATAAGTTAAGAAACATGCTATAAACTGTTGGTTCTGAAGAACCATTAGGAAGCAAAATGTCAAAAATCCTGCCATCGTAAACCTTGCAATCTGAAGTTTATGTTGAAATAGGTGCAATTAAGGCTTTTAGAGAGATGAATCAAATTGCTAATGTGCACATTCCTAATCAAGAATTTTGTTTAAAGAATTACATTAATGGCCAAGGGATTGGTATTTTTCCATCCTTAGTTATTGAATGAGCTTTGATATTGTATGCAAAATCCTGAAACACATTCTGCTATCAAGGCACACAACTGAATTTCTCCTTCCTGTTACCTCCTTTAGGACCTGTGTATGCTGATAATTGCTTAGAGTTACTGGTTCCTTCTCCTTCCTTCTCCCACAATGTTTTCTTTCTGTATTGCTTAAGGCATCTCCTGAACAAAATTCTATGCTTTGTTCACTGTTTATCATGTAATCAGGACTAAGTAGAAAGAAAGAGAGTTAAATCTTGTCAGCCTTGGCATGACCAGTCCCTAGCATAGTTCTTCAACTAATAAATAGCTACTAATAAACTAGTAAATATTAATAATAAATAATTGGTAGCTTTTACTAGTAAATTTATAGAGTCTGCTATTCTCAAAGTACATTCTTTGCTTAAGATTTATTTTACTTCTAATTATATGTCCGTTTGGATCTATTCACAAGAGTGTAGATGCCTGGGGAGGCCAGAGGTGTCAGAGACCCCTGGAGCTGGAGTTAGAGGGAGCTGTGAGCCATCTGATGGATGTACTGGCAACTGAACTTGAGTGCTCTGCAAGAGCAGTATGTGCTCTTGACCGCTGTACCATCTCTGCAGCACCACAAAGTCTATTCCTTTTTAAATTCTCCTTCATTTTTGATTGAAGTATAATTACATAATTTCCCTGTTTCCTCCCTCTAATCTTCCCCATGTACTGCCTCCTTGCTCTCTCCCTCTCAAATTCATGGTCTCTATTTCTCTAATTGTTGTTTTACACACACACACACACACACACACACACACACACACTCACACTCACACACATACTCACACACATGTGTATAAATGTATATAAATTGTGTGTGTGTGTGTATAAATACAACCCACTCAGTCCATATAATGTAACTTGTATGCTTATGATTTGGGAACATATCCCTTTTACAGGATCAGCAGAAGCTCATAAATCTCAGTGACATTACAGAGTAGACTCAGTTTTCTCCTCTTACCAGATCACTGTGCAACTGAAGGAAGCTGTTTCCCTTGCTTGGCAGATGAGGAGACTGGAGATCTACGAGAGACTGTGAGTTTGTCAGAGAGTATGCGTGACTAAGAGTTGAATTTCACGATCAAATTTTCCCTAAAAATACTTAAAGATTATGTATCTATCAGTGTGCCACTAAGGATCTGTTGAGTGGATAGAGGGCCAATCATCTTTGACTATCTCAATCATTGGCGAAAGTCTATTGCTTTCTATCTCTTGGTGTAATTGGAAGAACATGACATTGATTATATGCAAATACTTTGCTGAAACCCAGGGTCTGCCTCTGAGAGTTTCTTGGTTGCCACAATGATGATTTAGCTGTCACAGGGAAGGGCAGCATGGTCATCCAGGCACTGTTCTCACTCATCTCCATTATGCCTAGAGGAGGTTTATCCATGCTTCTTCATGGTCTGATAAGGAAATAAGGCTTGGTGGAAATTTAGTGAAAGTTGAGATAAAGTCAGTATTTGACGGCTCCAGCAACTGAATCCTGGTCAACTGACTCTCCAATAAGCTTTTTAATGTTATCTCCTGCTAATCCAGAGGCTGCAGGGAAAGAATGAATCTAGGATGTAGTAAATGACATGTAACACCCTCGGATCAATTCTTGTCACATATGCTAATTAATCAATAAGTAACACCCCTGAATTCATGCTTCTTCTAGATTAATGTAAAAAGGTCCTAGACAGATATTTTTTCAATGACATTGTAAGGAAGTTTGCTTGCAAAGGCAAGCTATTTCCTAGGCAATACACTCAGCTCCTAAACTAACACTTACCTATGGAACCCTGGCCCTCCGTCAGTTACCTCGTACTGTTAGGAGTGGACATTCTAAGAAAAAAAAAAAAAAAAGCTTCAACAGAAATTAACAGCAACTCAATGATATAGCAGCATCTCCCACTGACAGTGATGTTTTCTCTCTAAAGGGATGTGGGATTAATAGGTTGAAAATTCCCTTAATCTGGGGGGAAAAATGTGTCCCCACTCTATCATTTCTGTGTCCTCTTTCTCTGTGTACAAGTGCATTCTGACCGTTAAGCTTGGGTGGAAAGTTGAAAGACAGCTAACCAGCTACACCCAGCCAGAGCTCCCGGGTGGAGCAGCAAAGTTCTAGGGCTGAGCCTAGCGTTCCTTTCTCAGCGCCTGGCCATGCAGGCGCTCGCGGATACCTGCCCTGCCTGGCGCCGCGTCTGAAGATTCGCCTCGGCGGAACAGTTGAGTCTCCATCTGGTTACCAACCCACCCGAGCTTTCTTCTCCTCCATCACCACCTTCCTGCCTCCCCCTCCTCCCCCTCCTTTCCGTCTTCCCTCTCCACCCCCGCCCCCAATCTCCTCCTCTTTTTCTCACTACAAGCGGTGGCTGATGCTGAAGCCGAGCGTCACTTCGGCTCCCACGGCAGACATGGCGACATTGACAGTGGTCCAGCCGCTTACTCTGGACAGAGGTAAGGGAGCGGCTGGTCCATCAGGCCACAGAGTCCGCACCGCTTCCCCCTCCGCCCTGCCCAGTCCCACTGGGACAGCAGGATGCACTCGGCCAGGGGCAGCTGGGCGAGGAGGATCAGCCCAGGAGGCTTTCGCGCCCGGAGCAGGACACTTTCTAACCCTCTCTCCTCGCCTGGTTCCCGCCGCCCCTTCTCGCTGAGCTCTCCGGGGCGTGGATGTCTTGCCAGGGCTCCGATGCTCCAGCCGCAGGTCCTAGTCCTTTGCGGGGGTCGCCTCCGGGGCCCCGGCTTTGTTGGAGAGGATGTGCGGGAACCGCTGAGCGCTGGTGACAGGAGGTTGGAGAGGGGGCAGAGAAAGCTCTCTCCCAGCCAGAGCAGCCAAGGGACCAGTGTGGGCAAGCCAGCTAACAACTGCCGGCCCTGGGGAAGCGGAGGGAGGAAGTTTGTCGCCCGAGCTGGAGACAGGGTCTGTGCAGCTGCGGTGACTGGGAGATCGCCCCGGGGCGGGAGGGCGCTCGGCAGAGTAGCTGGGTGCACCACGGCACGCCTGGGCTAAGAAGCCACTGAGCCAGGGCGCTGCCCTCCGGCGAAAGGGCAGAGAGGAACCCGGGCAGCTTAGCTGGCTAGGGGACGCTGCATCCCGGAGGCGAGCCGGCTTGGCTCTGAGCTTTCCGTCCGGAGCTGCGGCTTGGGTCTCGGTGCTCCCTCGCCTGCAGTTTCAGGGCGGTAGCAACTCCTGTCGCCTGCTCCAAACCAACAACCTTGTTCTTCACCAGCCAAGTGTACCTCCGTGCCTGGGCTGCAGACAACGCGGGGACAAAGCGCAGGCTGGGTAACAGTTTAACTTCTAGCCTTTGACCTGTGCGTCCTACTCTTTGGCTGTATAGGAAACAGCGTTTGCTACCTCCTCAAACCTTGCCAAACCTGGCTACCGGTTTCTCCTCTGGGCTCAGGCCTGCCGGGTGCACCCGAGTAGTACCTGACTGTGAGTGGGAGTTTCCTTTCTCCCTTCCCAGTCCAGGCACTAGGGCTCCAGATTCCCTGCTCTGTAGAGAGAGGGCACCTCTAGCTCCTGTCCGCTGCGGCGGGGCTTAGGACCCAGGGCAGCCATTTGAAAATGCTGTGCTCAAAAGAAAATGATTTAGTCCTTGTCCCTCTAAATTTTCTCTTTCTGGAGGATTAAACTAGAGGGCCCAGCAAGGCAAAAAGAGCATCCTGCTGCGGAGCACAGTGGCAAAGCTGGTAAACTCTGTTTGAGGTTCTTAATTTGGAGGCATCTCTGGTGACTATAACTCAATCTGTTGGTGTCAGAACAGATATTATGCGGTGCCCATAGCAACCTTAGTTGGGGTAAGAGTTGAAAAATAATTGATTTTTATGTTGGGGAAATGTTCATTTACAGGCTTGCAAATTAATAACAGCAAAGAGCTCAGAAACCCGTCGTATAATCTATGATTCCCCCCACCCCCAATATCATCCGTACTAAGCAGGATAAATCCATTGTTGGTAAGTGCCAAGCAGATGACATGCTATTAAAAACGATGGGTTTCCCAAGTATTTCTGTTTTAATGTGATGAGCTCTTATATTGTCCCATTACTAAATTACAGTCATTAACCATCCCAAGTTTAACTATGTTAAACATCCCAAGTTCTAACTCTGTTAGAAGCAAACACTCCAAAAAGACCACATACCGAAGCAAGTTTAGATCCCACTACTACTATTACTGATACAACAATCCCACTTTGAAGGGGTTATCTTAGCCCTTAGGTGTCCCAGTCGGTTGTTTGGAGGAGGTATTACACAGACGATTTAAAGTGGATTCTTGTTTATATTCAGATGGTACCTGTGCTGTGATTAGAGCCGTACAGTAGCCCCGGAAGCAAAGTTAACTATGTGAATATCTGAATGAATGAACCATCTATCCTTACTGGCTTTATCCTTACTGGCTTTAACTGTTTGGTGAGTGGGAAGACTATCAATTAAGTGTCTTCTCTCTACTTCATTGTGATAGTACCTTAACATGATCAATTAGGTATTTTTATTATTAGACTGATGGAATATGGGATTCTAACCTTTGTCTTTGAAAAGGGCTTCACTCGGTTGGTCATTAGGAATTTGGGGCTGATGATTGCAATACTATGCAGTTTTCTCCTAACTTAGGTTTCAGTGTTTGGCCCCCTACTGGAAACTAGATCACACCAAGCTCTGTGGTGCCATTTGATATATACTCTAAACTTGCCCACCCAAAGGCTTTTGGCCCTGTCAAAGCCTTTATAACTGGTTGTTACTTTTGTCCCCGCAATGGGTGGAGCTCCTTGAGGGATGAGGCCATTTCTGAATCCATCCTTGAACTCCTTATAGTCCCTGACTTGTGGTAGACATCTACAACTAATGTAGATTCGTGTTAGTGAACTAAAACCTGAAGTAAATCAAGAGCTGTTGATGATAGGGATTTCAGACCAAACGGAGATACAATCCATGGAGTCATAGCACTACAGAACCAGCAAGGTTGGTAGTGCACCCGGAGCGAAGTTGTTAGGGACCTTTCCTCTGTTCCCTTGGTGGATTTCCATCAGCCACAGCTACTTACCAAGGCTTTGCCTTTGTTTGTTTGGTTTTTTGTTTGTTTGTTTGTTTGTTTTTTCAAGACAGGGTTTCTCTGTGTAGTCCTGGCTGTCCTGGAACTTTCTTTGTAGACCAGACTGGCCTTGAACTCAGAGATCTACTTGCCCTAGCCTCCCAAGGGCTGGGATTAAAGATCTGCAGGATTGCAGCTGGTGGGCAACCAGAAAGAAGGAGATAAGCGTCTTGTCAGGGGCAACCAAGTGCATCTCGGCAAATCAGAAAACACATCCTGTGATTTTAGGGCTCCCGGTTCATCTAGTGTTTTCATTTACACAAATATAAAACTGCAAAAGAAATGAAATTTTATTTTAAGGCTATGCTACCTCTAAATGGGAGATTTAATTCTTACTTAGTGTCCTTTGGCAGCACATATACAAACATACATATATACATGCATACATACATACATAACATATGCATGCATATATATATACACACATAGAGAACCTTCAGGAAAAGTTTTTAAGGAAACGAATCAAAGCTACAAGGGTTTAAATTAAGGCTTACTCTCCTGAAATTCAAATGCAATAACTGAAAGTAAGACTCTTAGATGTCACATTCATCTTGGTTTTTGTCTGGGAAGTAAGACTTTAAGATCCAGGCTGGCCCAAAAGGATGGTCAGGGTGACTTGGGGGCTTTCACATCTCTGTGTATAACCAAAGATTATTTTCTAACTGCACCAACACATTGGACTAGTCAGCACTACAGACCTTGGGGGTGGCGACAGACAGTAGATTCCTGTTTACTGTTTCTTAATAGTCTTCACTTACTCACTGAGGCCCCTACTGAAAGTCACACTTTATGTGGGATCAATGTACTGAGAAGCCAGACAAATGACAATTCTAATTTCTGTCATAAGTAACGGCCACTAGGGAAAGTTTTTTTTTTTTTTTTTAAGCCATACAAATGACTCATTCATCCATTTATTCAATACACATTTATCACCTGTTGCAAACTAGATGCTTATGGGAATACAGGATGAAAGGTTTTCTGCTTCTAGGAATCTTAAGTCTGCTAGGGGAGACAAATGGTAAGAGACTGGTTTTCTAAAAATTATTGAGTGTCAACCTTATCCCAAACGCTGCTCTAAGCACCACAGTAGTGCCCATTGAGCAAAATGGGTAAAATCTAATGGTGGTTGCATGCTAGTGAGAAAGATACCATGAATACATTTATACAAGTATGAGGCTAATGGAGTAGAAATAAACTGACCAGATGACAAGGGACCACTGCTATAGATATATTTGTCAAGGAGAGACCCCTTTCGATTGTGACATTTGAGAAGAGCACTGGAAAAATGGAGGAAACAAGCTTTGTCAATAACTGGGGATAAAGAGGTTCAGGAGGAAGAAAGCAAGCCTCCTAGCACATCACAGCAGCTACTGTGAAAAAGCAGGAAAAAGAGGAGCCCTAGTCCAAGGGTATTTGAAGATGGGTAGCCAGGGGCTCAGATAATGTGTCCCATGTTAGAGTACCCAAGAATGTGAAAATGCTCTGAGAAAACAATCAGAGGAGAGATAATGGGGTGAGAGCTACTTGGTTGCTGTTGATCGAAGAGGAATCACAAAGTAAGGAAAATGTTCAGTTGCTCTTCATATATTATGTTAATATGATCTTTAGAAAAAGCAGTCATAGTGAAGGAAGTATATATAACAGCAGTTCCAGATTTACTACTTGATTACCATCCAGTTAATACACTGAGAACCAAAAAAAAAAAAAAGAGTTAAAAATTAAAACTACCAGAAAAAAATAATTATACCAGAACGAAACATCTTGGGTTAAAAATTTGGTTGTGTAGGCCAAATAAATGTACAGATCAGCTTTATACCAGGTTTTGTTGTCAGACTAAAATATCATATATGATAATTTGATTTTCAAAGATGCACTAAACACTAGCTTTCATGGTGCTGTGAGTAAATCTATATTTTGAATCCGAGTGGTCTTAATATGGGATGTCTAGTTTGGGGGGTTAGACAAAAGTATATATAGTTTACCCTGTGGCCAAGTGAAGATTCTGATAAGGAGATGAACACGAAATTTATCTCTTCCCAGCTTCTAAATGTTCTCAGACCCTCTTCCTATTTTCAGAGATTGGCTTGGCCAGATTTTAATCTCTAAAACTAGGAATGACCTTCAACTAAACTCAGGGCAACAAAGCAGAGTTTAGCCCATGATACTCAATACTGTCATCTTTATAGAAAACAGAAATGCTTTGCCGTATTAAACACTGAGTCCTTCCAGACAGTTTCTGAGGGTACAGTAGCTTCAACTCTCCTTCAAGTCCAATTTCAAGGTCAGAAAGGGTAATATGAAAAAGTCCCTTTAAATTTTCACCTTTGTGTAACTTTTCCCCTCAAATTAAAACCAAATGGCTTTTAAAAAATTATGGCCTACAATGTGATAATATAAAACCTATTGTAGAAAAATGAGTAATTTTTCTATGGGTCTAGAGAGATAACTGTGATTAAGAGCAAGTGCTGCTCCCAGAACCCAAATTTGGTCCCCTGAACCCATGTCAGTGGCTCACAACCACCTGTAACATCAGCTCCAGGGGATCCAGTGCCTCTAGCTTTCTTGGGCACTTACACTCATGAGGACATAGTCCCACACAGGAAAAAATATATGCGTAATTGAAACTAGAGTAACTATTTTAAAATAAAATTCTAGGAGTTAATTAAAATTACACAATTTACAAATCTTTGGTGTTTGGTGACATGATCAATAGCTTCTAACCTATTTTAGTAGGTCGATAAGGTAAATTGTTACAATTGCCATTCATCTAACTTTTCTGTGTTTCAACTTCAGTTTGGACAAGTTGCAAAAATGGAAATGGAAACTGCTATTTCTTGGCTTCTTTTAATCATAATTTAAATTATTGATTAAACTAGTCTTAAGTGCACTTCTTCATTTAAAAAGATCAAACTTTTGTCCTTTAAAGTTTCTACTGGGAAACCAAGGAGTTTTATATTGTGGATTTCAATTTTATGGGGGAAAATAACATGAGAACAAATATTGAATGTCAATGAGAATCCCACGGTGCCACAGTCTTCATAACATTTGTGATATATTAACATTTTCTCTTTCCTTTTCACTTTTCAAGGCTTACAGAGCCTATTACTTTATGTATCTTCCAATTCAAGCCCTGGGCAGCCTATAGATTTTCTAATCAACTGCATTCACCAGTTTTTATAAAATCTGTATTCAGCTGAAAATTGCTTTTGCTCACAGTCCAAAGAGGGCCATTCCTTCTCTTGCACCTCAGTTTTCTGTTTTTGTTTTTATTTGGGAGGATTTTTTTTTAATGGCAGAAAGAAAAGACAAGGAAGAAGAAAAAATAAACATGATAATTTTAACTACTGTTTCAAAATTGCATGCCTGATGATCTTGATAGAAAAAAAATAGAAGGTTAAGAATATGTTGTATCTTATCCTAAAACCACACCAACATCAGCAGCCTGATATATTTCAGCTCATGAACATTAAATGGTTGCTTACTTTAAGAAAATATTTTCTGGAGGCACCAATAAACATTTTACAAACTATTTTTGTTGAATGTCTTTTTTGGTGTGGTCCTGCCATTCATGAAATCAATGTTTTCACTTGGTGGTATATTTTCATGGATCACTATAGGCTCCTAGCCATATAGTAGAGCATAAGGAATATTTACTGAGTAATATGAACCTAAAATAATGCACAAGCAGTGACTGTTTTAGGTTATCTCTTGGTCAGCGTGTGTGTGTGTGTGTGTGTGTGTGTGTGTGTGTGTGTGTGTGTGTGTGTGTTTCTGTCTATCTGTCTGTAGCCCAGCAAGTGATCGGAAACAATAAGAGGCCCTGTTGTTGATATTCATAATTTCACCTCCATTTTCTGCATTGATCCTACTGTTTTAGTTGGTGACTGAACCAAACCTGTAGTCACATAACAGGACCATGAAGGCTTTTTTAATGTGAAGAGGGGGCCACAGAATCATCTGCCTCCACCCCAGTACACAAAAACGAGCTACTCTATGATTTTATTTTTCACTACCAATTAATGAATGATAGAACTCTGACGTGATAAATAGGTCAAGATAGATTTATTTTGAAAGCACTCTCTGTTGACAAAAACATCTTTAAAAGTCACACAGATCCCACCAATTCATTACCTCTAATCAATGGGATCGAGAAGTTTGTAAGATGGAGTTTTGCTAAGTAATGTTCTAGCTGCATTTGAAGACTTGCCTAGTGAAAGCAAGTATGCCTAAAACCACTTAAAAGCAGCCACGTGGGATGGAAATTTCTTTTGAAGCTGTACTCAGACATCTGTCTGTGTTGCACAGTAAGCACAGGGCTCCTGGTTTCAACTAATCACCACGTCTAGAAACACTGGAGCAATTTCAAGTCCACCTGGTTCTGTTCTTTTTGTTTACTTGCTCAGTGTTGTCATGGGAACATTAATTCTGCATAAGATCTTCAAGCAGAGAATTACCATCACCCAAAAAAGAATGGATTAATGGAAGTCACAGAATGTTCACAAGACTTCAAACCCCAGGTTATATGGCAGAGAAATAAGCATCAAGTGACAGCTGGGTCTATTCAACAGCAATGGAATACTTGAAGACTATGACTGAGAGACTACTGAAAATGATATTGAGGTAAAATAGGGAACAGTAGGTTAAACATGAAGCATGACCTTGAGAAAATGCATAAAGATGATTTAGGGAATGACAGACTAAACTATCTGGTGGTGTCTCTTAGCAGAACATAATATAAGGCACGTTATTAGAATAATAAAATATGGACCATTAGAAACGAAGGTGGGGATTCTGCAGTAGGTACATGGGTCGATGAGAATGGATTAGATAAATTTCATAGGCACAGCACAGCTGTGTTCTGCACTCAGGATGCTATTAGCTGTGCAAGAGGCCTTGTTGATAACATGGAGCTACTTGAAGTGGGCTTCTAGTGGTTGAATGCTACTCTAAGAATGAATGGGTCTTAGTCCTCTGCATCGTTACTGAGATTCCAGCTGAGTGCCCTGAATTATATTTTAATCAAATGTATTGGTGGCATACAGCTTGGGAAAATAAGAAATAATTGGGCCAGCAATATCAGTATTCTAAGATTGTACCTAGCTAAAATGGCAGGTTACAGTGAAGCAGATAAAATTCAATGGAAGGAAATGTAGCTTTCATTCATTACATGGAATCAAGTCAGAATGTGATTAGATTCACATTGATGGCATTGGTATAGGACTGGGACAATCTAATTCAAGAGTAGTTGATTTGGAAAATATTGATCATTTTATTTAATAAAGTCAAAACAAGCTACATGAGTAAATCATCAAAATATTAAAAATCAATCTCTTTAAAATTAAATGTAAAATTTGTACCAATACTGTAATAAAACACTAGTATTCTATAATCCATGGGGAATTATTTTAGTAATTAGTAAAAATTTTCAAATTTAGGCATCACTCTTTGTTGGCATGTTCCTCATGCTAGTGATGATTTAGAGCATAATGAAAACTATCACAGTCACAGAAAAGTTACTCAACTGATATATGATTGGTAGCAGCAGACCTAAAACCATTTGCCACATAGACAGCTTAGTATTTAGAATCTCAAACTGTAAAGGCCTACTTAAAACTCACCATCCTCATCATGGTATTAAATAGAAGCATGAGTTAAATATCTAGATTCCCTCTTGGAAGGAAGTACTACCCTACTCAGCTGTGAAACACAGAGTTCCTAGGAAGGAGGATGGTTCAACATTAGGAACTACTTTGCTGTAATGTTTTACATATGTAATAAAATGTCAGCTTACTATGTGATTTAAGCCCTGTAAGAAGGGCTTCTCTTCAACATGATAAAGATTAGCTATCAAATGCAATGTTGAATGCTGCATTTAAAGGTGTAGCTGAAGTTTTTCTGGTCCTGCCTGGCCCACAGTCAGGACAAATCTCTCTCACCCACCAATCCCGCAACCACTCAGACCCAAATAAACACACACATGCTTATATTATTTAAAATGTTTGACCTAAATGGCTCCGGTTTCTTGCTATCTAGTTCTTATATCTTAAATTAACCCATTTCTATAAATCTATATCATGCCATGTGGCTCGTGGCTTACCGGTACTTTACATCTCGCTTGTCATGGCGGTGGCTGGCAGCGTCTCCTCACTCAGCCCTCCTGTTCCCAGAATTCTCCTCTCTCTATATCCCGCCTATACTTCCTGCCTGGCTACTGGCCAATCAGCACTTTATTTATTAACCAATCAGAGCAACACTTTCACAGCATATAGAACATCCCACAGCATAAAGGTGAAACATAGAACAGTATATTTAAGCCCAAGAACAATACAAAAGATTTAACCAATGCTATAAGATAAAAGCAAGCAAAAAAATATGAAGAAGGAGCTATCAAAATTACCTGTTTTCAGAGTATTCGGTTATCAATTGAAAAACTGTTAGAAGGCATAACTGAATTTCCCAGAGACAATCACTAATGCCACAAATCAGTGCTCACATATCCAAATAGTACTTAAATCGTAATCTCAAATCCAACTGACAAGTTTTAAAAATCAATGAAAAGGAAAAATACAATAACAAAATACAATAAAAAGGAAGGAATAGAAAAATGATGAATTTTGATGGCCCACCATGTGACACACCTGCTATATATTTGAGAAAAGGGGATAAAGAGGGGAGAAGATGGACAAGGTCTATCGATGGTGTGCACACTTCCCAGTTAGGGTAGAAACAAAACATTTAAACAGGTGAGAACACAATGTGACTCCGGAGAATAGTAATGACGGAGAAGAAAACACTGAATGAACGAGACTTATACAGTGAGTTCTGAAAGGCTATATGAGGATGTGGCATCCGAGAAGAAGCAGGCACTGTGCAAAGTGGAAGAAGTGAGTGCAAAGATGACCATTTTGATGAGTAAAAGCGAGGGAAAGAAGAAGTCAGAGCATAGTAAAAGAAGGGGGTAGATGAGAAAGGATGCAGAGTGGGAGGTAGCAATACCTGCTTTAAGGACTCAAGGAAACGATGGAGAGCAAATGCTATGTTCAATGTAAACAGGCATCGCAATACTATTTTCTTCCAGCCACTGTTGTTTTCTCCATCATTTCAAGGGTACCATCTTTTTTAGGAAGCAATGTGATGCTTTAAAATATACTGGCCAGAGAAGTCCTGCATACATTTTATATCCTTGCTTTTCTGCTTACTAACTCTACAATGTTCACAGAAGTTGCTTCACTGTTTTGAGTTTCAGTTTTCTAATCTGAAAAGTTGCAAATTGTAAAACTAATACCAAAGATATATATTTGTTGGTTTTAATATTCCAATATGTATAAATAAAATACTCAGACCAGGTCTGACACATAGTAAACACTCAATAGCCATCATCATTTCTTCCCTGAGCCCTGGATGCCATGTGATGCCAACATCCAAACAGGGCAAAGATAGAGAATGCTTCCTTTATCATCATACATGAAGAGGCTTGGACTACACTTAGTTGTGGATTCAAAAGTTGGAGAGAGTTATTGGAAACACTTAGAGATCCAAACGAAATGTTTCCTATATATGCAACTTATTGTCTACATACACTTTCCCTAAATTGTTCATTTCTTGATAGGTCATCAATGATCTTTAAAAACTCGATTAGGACACTAATAAGAGGTGATTGAAAATGTTGCTTTATATAGCTTTCATCCTAAACGTACATGCTTTTAACATCTTTTGTGCATATGATAAATGTATGTGCATGTGTAGCTGAGCTCACATGTGCCCTGATGCTGGTATGGAGGTAAGAGGATGATTTCAGGTGTCAGCCTTTACCTTCCACCTATTGTTGATGCTACTTCCTCTGTTGCTGCTGCTACTGTTTATCAGTCTGTATTACAGGCTATCTGGCCCCCAATCTTCTGGGGGATTCTCCTGTCTCTGTCTCCCATCTCACCATAGGAGTACTGTTCACATAGCTTTCTAATATCTACCATTGTATACATTGGGGCATCATAGTAATACCAAAATATGTTCCCCAATATTTACTAAATGAGTTATTATTTTGGCTTACATAGCCTCAAGCAAGCAAATGAGGAGAGGACACAGGGGGGCAGATTTTTATTAAACAGAAATATCCCCAAATTTGTTTGCTTCGAAATTAGAATTGGTGCCTTATAAAACTACTGAGCATTGAGCATCGTGTTCATGCACATTATACAGGGAAAAGATAATTAACAAACTTTATTTTTTTTCCAAAACAGACTTATATATTCAAAAATGGCTTAGGGTGTGCTCAGTGGTGTGATTCTAAATATAAGTTAGCCATACACAGGTATTTTAAAAATGTACTAAGAAAATGAGAAGAAAAGCTAAAAAGTGATTTTGGCTCCCCCTTTTTTTAAAAAAAAAAAAAAATTATTTAGTTTTAAAGGAACTTATGATTCTCAGAAGCAAATGTGGTATCTCAAGGAAGGAGGTCTGGATCCAGATGGCTGAGTCTCAGTTCAGTCTCTCCCTTTACAGTCACAAGCTGTATATAACCTCCACCTCACTATGCTTATAATCTGTGCGTGCTGGTTGGGTTTTGTCAATTGATCCAAGCTAGAATTTCCTGGAAAGAGGGTCACTCAGCTGAGCAATTGTTGTCTCTGGATTGGACTGTCGGCCAGTCTGGGGTCATTTTCTTAATTGACAATTGATGTGGGAGAGCTCAGACCACTTATGTACAATGCCACTTGTAGGTAAGCAATCTTGGATTATATCATCAGAAGGCAAGGTGAGGTTTGGCTTGGAAGATATACAGTTTGGGTACAGGCATGAGTTCTTTAGTGTAACTGGAGCAAGGAAACTATTTTAAAATGTAAGCTATTGTTTGCTTTTGTACTTTTAAGCAGACCAAGTGAACAGCTTAGATTCTGTGAAACAAAGAAAAATCTTTGTAAAATTAAAAAGGAAGAAATAAAGGAAGGAAGGAAAGAAAGAAAGAAGGATAGAAGGGAGGAAGAAAGAGATAGAAAGGTGAGCAAACCATGAAGAGCAAGCCAGTGACCAGTGTTCCTCCATTGTCTCTGCTTCAGTTCCTGCCTCTAGGTTCCTTTCCTTGACATGAACTATATAAGCTGTAACATGGAATAATCCTTTCCTCCCCAAGTTGCTTTTGGGTCATGGTGTTTATCACAGAGGTAGGAAACTGGAGCACTATGCATCCTTGGTGTATATTTGTTGCAATCCTATTTGTGTTCCTTGTAAAGTGAACAATAATGAGACTTCCTATCATGAAGCTATGGTAAACATTAGCTGAGAAGACATACACAAACAGGTTATACATGCAAGTATACCTGTAAGTGATACATGCAAGTGCTCAAACGTGATCACCCCTATAGGAAATGCTCAACAGGGAGGGGTATCCCCCCCATCTCTTCCTCTTATGGTCATGCTTACCTCCCCAGTGCAGTAAGTACAAAAGCTTGAGATTTAGATAGATATGCATTTGCCCTACCGCCCTGCTGCTTACTGAGCACAGGGGCTTGGAGTGGTGCTTAATTTCTGCATGCTGTATGTGTCTTGTGTCCTTTTATAAAAACAGTGACACTGGTCATACATGTCGTTGGTTCTCTTTCCCCTCACTGAGCCATTCAGGA